TGTATTGTCCTTGTCTAGAAGACCACTACCTAAGAGCCACTCCTTTTAAGCCTCTTTGTTGCTTAAATTTGGCCAAAAGGGTCTAGTTGGCACTGACTCCCACCTGATCTGCTCATTTTCCCATCCCCCCACCCTCCAACATGGGACCAAAACCAACCAAACAAACAAAATCCAGGAAAAAGCAAATCCTGATGATGACCAATGAAGAAAGATCTTCAGTCTGAGGCCATATCACCCTAAACATGCCCAATCTCATCTGGTTTCAGAAGCTAAGTAGGGTTGGACCTGGTTAGTACTTGGATGGGAGACAGATCTTCAGAAGAGACTGCTCAGAGACAAACAGTTTGGAGACAAAGGGGGGAGTGCCATCAAAGTTCAAATGGAGTCAGTCGTGCCAGACCTCACAAAAATAACCAAAGCTGAGAGGATTAAAGAAATGGTTCTTATTCATGTGTGGCTGTCTGGCATTAAAGCCCTTCTAGACACAAACTCATATTTTTAGACAGGAACTTCTACTTAGATGGAGACAAAGTAACTGTTTTTATTGGCTCTAAACATGTCCTTTGATACTTAAAAATGGTGATTTTAACTTTTTTTAAAAGAACGTGTTATCTTGGACATATATATTGATAATATATTTTTGCCATGGTAATTCCTAAGAACCAGGTTAAAAAAAAACTAAAATGTCCAACCATTAAAACCCTCATTGGAGGGGCCCTTGTTGGTATCTTGTCTACTCCTCCATAGTAAAGTAGCAGAGATTGTTCCTGTGGATACACCACAGTCCGAGTCAAGCCACTTCTCTTGAGTGTAGTGCAATCCCAATCAGCTTCACTGTTAGGATCAACCCTCTGGAACCTGAGCACCCTCCCCTTGGCAGGAATCCACTTCCCAGGAAACAACAGGGGACCAGAACAATGGAATGACAGCCCTGCACTAGTCACCACTGGAAGCTGACTAGTCTATACACAGCAAAATCTTGAGGATTCCACTCTCCAACAGGACAAATGGGTTGTTTTTCACACCAGTTATTTCACTGTAATGCATTGTCACCCCTTGTCTGTAACTGCTGCTGTAGTTCTCACCCTAGTCTTCACCATAGGCTTGGCAGAAACTGCCCCTCTGACTGGTCTCACAGTGAAAGGTTTTTATTTGCTCTCTCTTTTGAGCAGGATGCATAATTACTATTTATTACTACCGATCTGGTTAACAGAGTGGCTAAATAAAAGCCGTCCTCAAGGGGAAAGCTGACCCTAACTACACCCCTGGCACCTATAACCCTGTAAATTTCACTGTTCTTAAGCCATCTGATTAAACTTGGGAAAAAGTAATTAATATAAAAATAGATAAGGGAGGATTCCAAGATGGCAGCTAGAGGGAGGAAGCAGAAAGCGAGCCTCCTATAGTGAAATCTTGGAGAGACACTGGAGACACACTTTACAGGCATAATCACTGAGAAAAGGCATGACTTTGACCCCTCCACACCTCCAGCTGTTGCAGAGAATCTCCAATTCACGTTAAATGGAGAAACAAGGAGGGCCCCGGGCCGCCCGTCCTGGCCCCGCCGACGGCTTGGGAAGACACGGACCAGGTGAGCTTCGCTACCATGGTACTCCCCAGACAAGCTGGGCAGAGCAGCATAGCCCCTGGATAGACTGACTCTACCCGGGGAAAAAAGAGAAACTGAGTAATAAGCAATAAGAGCAATAAAGACACACGTGAAAGAGGGTGGGGTGCCCTGAGCGCAAAGATTTGGGTGAAGGAATCCTTCCAGGACTGTAAATAAACAAGCGGGAGGGCCAGAGAGGCTCTGGCAGAGTGGGAGGCGTGCCCCAGCAATGAAGGCGGGGAAGCTTGTGAAGAGTGCGGAGGGAGGAAAACTCCACAGGAGAGGAGGGAAGACCCACTTCCCCTGTGAACCGTAAACAAACATGGCGGCTGGCAGGAGCAGCAGCACTGCCCAGTAAGCAGGAGCAGGAAAGCTTGTGAAAGTGGCAGTGGGAGGAAAATGTCACAGGAGAGGGGGGAAGACCCACCTCCCACATGAACTGTAAATAAACATGCAGGCCTGACAATGCGGGTGCAGTGTCACCTTTCCCAGTGCTTGGAAAGGGGAAAGCCTGTAGCAGAGGCTCCTGCACAGGAGAACTCTGAACAAACAAAGCCTGTGGGGCCAGGTGAGTGCTAAGCTCACCCCAGAGATCTGCATAAACAACGCATCCAGCAACAGCAGGCTGACAGCAGTGGGCAGGCAAGCCACAGCTGCAGATACCATTCTCAGAAACTGTCTCCAGACTCTTTTTTTTTCTTTTTCTCCTACCTTTGATGAGAAACAACCGAATTACACTGCATGCTGAAAAACTTACTGAAACTTATTGCATTTGAACTTGGGACACTAGGTGGGGATTTTTTTGTTTTGTGTGTGTGTGTGTGTGTTCTATCTTTCTGGTCCCTTTGAATGAGACAAACTACAGAACAACAATCTGAGGCACATCTCCAGGATTGGAGACTGAGATGGACACCCAAATAATTAAGACGGAAACTTCATTGCATTTGACTTGGAGGTTTTTTGTTTTTTTTTTAAATTTCTATTTTCCATTTTATTTTAATTCATTTTTAAATATATAGATATTTCTTTCATTTACTTATTTTTTATTTTTTTTATCTATTTTTTATTTTTATTCAATCATCTATCTGTCTCCTAATGTCTGTTCAGCTTACTGTCAATTAGTACACTAAACGCTCCCTGTTTATACCTTTGAAACTTTCTTGTCTGAAAACCTTGTTCTGCTTTCTCCCTCTTGTCTGTGTATTTGTTTTTCCCTTTTCTTTAACTTCTTGCTTTCCATCTCAGCTCACCCTTCCATTTCTAAATATTACCATTGTTATTATTACAAGCCTAGAAAATACTTAATTGCAACACAGTACAGGGACAAGTAAACACACCAAAGACAATGACGGGAAGACAGAAAAAACAGGGAAACCAGTTTCCCACAGCAAAAATTAGTAAGGAACCAGAGGGGAATGAAGAGAACAGAAACTCAGATCCAGACTCCAACAAAATGAAAGATAAACTATGCCAAAAGGACCCAATGAAGCCCACAAGAATAATCTAAAAGAAGAAATACTACAGTATCATGAGATTTTATAGAGATGATACTGGATAGGTCACCAAAATGTACAGGAGACACTCAGAAATTCCAGACAACAAAAATAGAGAATTTGAAAAGCAAAAGAAAAATAAAGGAAACCATAGAAGCTGTATAAACACCAAAGTGAAAGAGAGAACACAATGAATTAAACGGATAAATGAACTCAGGAACAAAAATAGACAACATTAAAGAGGAAAAGACCAGGATATGGAAACCTCAGAAAAAAGAAAAGAAAACAGACTGCAAAAACAAAATGAAGGCCAATCCAGCAGAATAGATCAAACAGAAGACACAATCTCCAGAACTTGAAGATGAAATGGGTAATTAAGGAAAAACCAAGAACTATTAATTAAACAACTCAAGACCTGTGAAAAGAAAATGCAAGAACTCACCACTCCATCAAAAGACAAACTTGAAAGATCATGGGCATCAAGAAGGAGAAGAGGTGCAAGAAAGGGAATGCGTAATATATTCAACAAAATAAAACGAAAATTTTCCCAAATCTAGAGAAAGATAATTCCCATACAGACAAGAGGCCTCCAGGACACCAAACAGACCAAGATCAAAATAGAACTACTCCACGACATATCATCATTAAAACAACAAGTTCAGAAACTAAGGAAGAATATTGAAGGCTGTAAGAGAGAAAAAACCAAATAACATACAAAGGTAAACCCATCAAAATCACAGCAAGACCTTCTCAACAAGAAACATTAAAAGCAAAAAAGCTGTGGGGAGATCTTCTGGGACTGAATGAAATAACTTTCAACCCCAGGATACTCTACCCAGCAAAACTATCATTCAAAATAGATGGAGCAAATAAAAGTCTTCCATGATAAGCAGAAACTAAAACAATCATGTGACCATCAAAGCCACCAATGCAAAACCAAGATTCTTCAAGGGATTCTGCAACAGAAAATGAAACCCAACTTACCATGAAAAGACAGGCAGACCAACCACAGGAAATAGAAAAAGCAAGAAAGTAAGAATAACTCACCTTAGGTACACAAGTCCCAAACCTTCAAACAACTAAGGAAAACTAAATGACAGGAATCCACCACATACATTCAATACTAACTCTTAAATGTTAACTGGACTTAATTCACCCATCAAAAGGCACCGATGATGAAAGAATTAAAAAGGAAGATCAACAATCTGTTGCTTACAGGAGACCCAGTCACCGACAGGAAATAAGCATAGGCTTAGGATGTAAGGCTGGAAGCAGATTTACCAAGCCAATGGCCCCTTTAAAAACGCAGGAGTAGGCAAACTTATCTCTGACAAAGTAGAACTTCAAACCTTACATTGATCAAATTGAGATAAAGAGGACTTCATACTAATAAAAGGGGAAATAGACCAAAAGGAAATAATAATCATTCAAACTGTATGCACATACCGATGTCAACGCACCCAATTTCATCAAACCTACCCTGAAGGACCTAAAAGATACTATTAACTCAACATAAGTGTTTGTTGGAGACTTTTCACACCCATTATCATCAATAGATTTGGTCTCCAAACAAAAAATCAATAAAGAAATCCAAGACTAAAATATACAATAGATCAAATGGACCTAATAGATGTCTATGAACATTTCAATCCAACCTCTACACAATATACATTCTTCTTCAGTAGCCATGGAACCTTCTCCAAAATAAGATCATATCCTAGGGCACAAA